GCAAGCGATTCTCCTGTCTCAGCCTCCTGAGTAGCTGGGATTACAGGTGCCCGCCAGTATGCCCGGATAATTTTTGGTATTTTTAGTAGAAATGGGGTTTCACCATGTTGGCCAAGCTGGTCTCGAACTCCTGACCTGAGGTGATCCACCCGCCTTGGCCTCCCAAAGTGCTGGAATTACAGGCGTGAGCCACCATGCCTGGCCATGTGTCACATTTTCTTTATCCAGTCTACCACTGATGGGCATTTGGGTTGGTTCCAAGTCTTTGCTATTGCGAACAGTGCCTCAATAAACGTATGTGTGCATGTGTCTTTACAGTAGAATGATTTATAATCCTTTGGGTATATACCCAGTAATGGGACTGCTGGGTCAAATGGTATTTCTGGTTCTAGATCCTTGAGGAATCGCCATGCTGTTTTCCACAATGGTTGAACTAATTTACACTCCCACCAACAGTGTAAAAGTGTTCCTATTTCTCCAAATCCTCTCCTGCATCAACAGCAGCAATTTTTAAATGACTTACCTGCATCCTTTTTCCAAAACATTTTGCTTTATTTCACAGAGATATTTTTTCATATAAGTATGTCATTGGTTTCTTATAATAAAAAAAAAAATTAAAATGTCAAGAATAGCTAGAATAAACAACTTTTCAGCAATAATACAACTCAACAGGTTAACGAGCCATGCCTGGTATATTTGACAGTAATCTAGAAGCTTTTCCAGCATGCTCTGGGCAAAAATTGGCATGGTTAATAGAGAAAAGAAAGTCTCAACCTGGCAAGTAGTTATGAGTTAAGTGGAAGGTGGTTTAAAAAGCTCCTCATATATTTAATAGTGTTCACTGCTCAGTTAGCCTAAAAGTGCCCATTAGCTATAAAAAGATGTTTACTGGCCAGGCGCGGAGGCTCAAGCCTGTAAACCCAGCACTTTGGGAGGCCAAGGCGGGCAGATCACGAGGTTAGGAGATTGAGACCATCCTGGCTAATACAGTGAAACCCCGTTTCTACTAAAAATATAAAAAATTAGCCGGGTGAGGTGGCGGCGCCTGTAGTCCCAGCTGCTGGGGAGGCTGAGGCAGGGGAATGGTGTGAACCCGGGAGGCGGAGCTTGCAGTGAGCTGAGATCGCACCACTGCACTCCAGCCTGGGCGACAAAGTAAGACTCCGTCTCAAAAAAAAAAAAAGTTTACCATTTCAAACTGCAAAATTATGTTTCTAGAAATGATATTATTGTTATCAGTTTTGTAAAGTGATGAAACACCCATGATTCACTTCACTGTCTTTCTATGAACTCAATTATACCAACTGTCCCACCTTGTCTCTTCTTTCCTCTCTCTCTCTCTCTGGCTTTCTCTCTCTCTAATGTGCCATTCAGAAATAAAACTAGTAAAAAAATAAGTCTGAGAATAAATTTGGGAAGAGGCATAACTACATGTTTTAAAATACTGTAGATCCACCCATCTTGGCCTCCCAAAGTGTGGATCATCTGAGGTCAGGAGTTCGAGATCAGCCTGGCCAACATGGTGAAACCTTGTCTCTACTAAAAATACAAAAATTAGCTGGGCGTGGTGGGTGTCTGTAATCCCACCTACTTGGGAGGCTGAGGCAGGAGAACGGCTTGAACCTGGAAGGTGGAGGTTGCAGTGAGCCAAGATTATACCATTGCGCTCCAGCCTGGGCAACAGAGCAAGGTTTCATCTCAACAAAACAAAACAAAACAACTGTAGAAAACTTATGAATATGGGCTGAGCACAGTGGCTCACTTCTATAATCCCAGCACTTTGGAAGGCTGAGGTGGTTGGATCACCTGAGGTCAGGAGTTCAAGATCAGCCTGGACAACATGGTGAAACCCCACCTATACTAAAAATACAATTAGCCAAATGTAGTGGTGCACACCTGCAGTCCCAGCTATTTGGCAGGCTGAGGAAGAATTGCTTGAATCTGGGAGGCGGAGGTTGCAGTGAGCAGAGAGAGTGAGACTCCGTCTCAATAAATAAATAAACAAATAAAAAAGAAAGAAAATTTACTGACTAAAATCCAATGAAGACAGAAGACAGAAGCACAAGTCTTTATGGCATTAGACCATTAGGCAAGTTTCATTTGGAAATACTTCATTGACATAGTTAGAAAACTACTTCTCAAAGTTGGGAGAAGAGTTAGGAAGACTGGTTGTAGTAAAGATATGGCCCAGAGGTAAAACAGACAAGACCAAAATGGACAGACAGATTGAAACAAAAATAAAGATATGAACAAAAAAATAATTTTCATTTTTAAAAGACTGCCATTATCTTCCTAATACAATATAAAAGGAAAACATATTAAATGTTCATGGCTTAGATTTTCTAAAAGAAAAAAGCTTTGTCAGTCAATTACATATTTACTTCTTAGAAAGCTTCACACAAATTACTACAGGAAAGAAAAAAACTGGCTGGAGTTAAAAATACCTCATGTCAATTTACCAGGGTCAATCATTGTGTGCTTGTCAAAAATTTAGGTAGGAAAGTTCCTCAAAGTAGAATTGCAGGGCCAAAAGTTTTTGCGCATTGTTTAAAACCTTTGATAAATACACCTCGTTGCCCTGGTTTACTACTTCAGACTATCTTTACACTAAAGTACTTGTTTCTTTATATTCTTATTGCCACTGGGTATTACATCTCTGCTACTATGTTACATTTTTAGAAAGGGACTTTTAATTTAAATTTAATCTTCTTTTGTCATAAGTGAGGCTTAATATTTTCTTATAGTTTTATTGGTCATCTGCATGTAAAGTTTTGCGAATTGCTTGATTATATTCTTTGCCTACTCGTCTATTATGATCAATGTTCTCATGTCATGGATGGAGAAATAGAGGCCCAGACAGGATAAGTATTTTTCTTAAGGCTCTACAGTAAATGAATCACCTCTATGGAGTTATTAAGCAAAACCTTCTCATCTTTCTAATACAACAGGAAACCCTGATGAAGTAGACAGGATATGGGTTAGCATGTCAGCAACATACCCTCCAGCCCATTACCACTGCCACACACAAACAAGAAAAAAAACGATTTTATTTATTACTATTATTTTTTTGTACAGAGTCTTACTCTGTTGCCCAGGCTGGAGTGCTGTGGCGTGATACGGGCTCACTGCAAACTCCGCCTTCCAGGTTCAAGCAATTCTCCTGCCTCAGCCTCCCAAGTAGCTGGGATTACAGGTGCCCACCACCATGCCCGGCTAATTTTTGTATTATAGTAGAGACAGGGTTTCACCATGTTGGCCAGGCTGGTCTCAAACTCCTGACCTCAGGGGATCCGCCCTGCTTGGCCTCCCAAAGTGTTGGGATTACAGGCATGAGCCACCGTACCTCAAAAATATAATTTTAGAATAAAAAAATAATTTTAGAATATGAAAATAATTTTAGAATATTTATATTAAAAATACATTTTGACTCTTACTATCATCATATTTGTTGGTCATGACAAAATTGAGGGGGGTAACCTTTTTTTCTCTAATGGGGTGCATTTACTTGTGACCGATATCTGTGGTTTTGTTTACAGATTCCCACGGGAAATTCATTGTGTGACTCTTATTACAAGAAGGTAAGTTTAGCCGATGTCTCTTTAGATGGAACTAGCGCGTGACTGAGCTGGAAAGCACAGTACAGAGTAGAAGCCCAGCTGAGTGGCCTTTTGTCCTTTCTGTTCTCTGTCACCGGACACTCAGCATGGTGGGTGCCGCTTCACCTGCTGCTGCATTTGCTGAACTGTTATCCTGCCTCTTGCTCTCCCATCTCAGGTCGATACGGCATATACAAGGAGAATGGGGGCACGTGAAGCTGCACTTTTTCTAAAGAAGTCTGGCCTCTTGGACATTATCCTCGGGAAGGTAATTTCTCTTCTGTGGCCACCCTCACAGCTCTGCCTGGCAGGTCAGAGCCAGCCTGTGCAGACCCTTTTCCATGGGGCCAGGCTGCCTGGGGAGTGGCCTGGTCACGGCAGACCTCTCAGGCTGTAACTGTTGGATCGGAATGCCCAGGTGGCCGCTCCCGCCACTACTTAGGTAGCAGACAAGAGACCTGAGTACTTTTGGGGTTTTGATAGCTTGTAGACTTTTGTTGGGGAAATAAGGGTGTCATAAACACCACCGGCTTGGGAGCTGAGTCCTCTGGGCCCTTCCACCGACTGGCTGTGCGCCCCTGGGCAGATCATTCACCTGCTCTAAATTGGCCTCTTCATCTGCAGTGCAACCTGGGTCACTCCTGCCCCACAAGGCCCTTGGTTTGCAAGGCTGGTGGTGTGGTGGTGGTGGCTCTCATTTTTCTTAACACACGGGCAAAGATCAGCAGTCATGCTTATGATCATTTTTGTGTTTCTGCACATAGGGGACTTGGCCGACCCAGAAAGTAAAGGGTTCTTGGACAAACAGGTATATACACGTGTACACAGAGCAAGTGGAGGGGTGGGGCAGAGCCCCCAGGCTGGGTGACCTCTGTGCCTCCTTCCACGTTCCTCCACTGCCAGGTATTATTAGGCAGGAGCACAGCTATCAAACTTAACACAGGAAGGTTTTTATTTTAAAATAAATATCTTTTAAACACTCACAGTCATCTTTCATAGCTAGCGTATCTTTTAATATTTTGTAACCTTACGTGTGATTAAAGTGTTGTCTAGACTCTTTGTTTTGAAATAATCTCAGTCTCCTGTAGAAGTTGCATAAATGACTGGAGGGTTCCTGTGGAGCTTTTACCAGCTCTTCCCAGTGATGGCGTCTTAAGTAACAGCAGCACAGTGACCAGAGACAGAAAGTAGACATCGGTGTAACACTAAAGGCCTTAGTCAGAGTTGACTAGCTCTGATAATAATTTTAGAATATTTATATTCTAAAAAATAATATTTATATTCTAAAAAATAATTTTAGAATATTTAATACTTCCAGAGAAATACTTCCAGAAAAACACTGAAACGTCATGGGATAAATCAAAATGTTTTTGGTCTTTACACGTATATTTTTCAATTTTTTGAACAATTTGATTTACATATGGGAGGTGATTAGCCTCTTTTCAGTGGTTGGTTAGTGCCTCTAAAGGTCTGGTTCTAGTCTTGTGAGTCTGTCTAGGATAGACAGAATTAAAGCAATATATGGAGTTATAACGTGTTTCTGAACAGGAAAGCTGAGGCAGTCACTGCTCCTTCTCTGTTTAATATCCGTCTACTCTTCACCATCCTTTGCTCGTGGGATCTGGGTTTTGCACTGGATATACTCACTGCCCAACTAAAACTGATATTCCAGGCTACTGTGCAGCCTGCTGTGTACACTGGGTGGGCATGCTACAAAGTTCTGGCCAGCAAGAAGAGGAAATCTAGGCGGTGGGTCTTTGATATGGTTATTGTTGTTTAACCAGTTGGCACGTCCCTTTTTCCCTGTCTTTCTTCATATTCTGGAACATGTATGAAAGGCTTCTGTATGCCACCATTTTTGCAAGCATGAGGAAGAAGGCCATATACTAAGGATAGTGGAAAAGAAAGATAGAGCCCAGGACCATTTGGTATCGTGGAGCCACTGCAGCAGCCCCAAACTGCCTATTGACAGAATAAACCTTTATTCTATTACTATTTTCTTATGCTTTTATTGCAATAGGAGCATCTTTTGGATTTTCATTAAAAATGAACTAAGACGGTCCTAAGTGATACTGCTGTCACCTGTCAAAAGTCATAACTGAGCGTTAAGAAGACTGGCTGTCAGGAATAACATGAGAAATGTTATAGTGCAAGTGGCTGCAGTAGAAACAGAAGGGGACTTCAAAAGTAAAAGTTTTAAAAACAAGCTCAACTCATGAAAGAACTGACCAACTCATAAATATAGTGGATGACTCAAGCCTAAAAATGAATGTAATTTAACAGAAGCAATTATCTTGGAAGTGAGGTAAGAATCAACCAAAGTCAATATATTAAATGCTTATATATTAGAACAACTGCTTTGGCCGGGTGTGGTGGCTCACGCCTGTAATCCCAGCACTGTGGGAGGGCAAGGTGGGCAGATCACTTGAGGTCAGGAGTTCGAGACCAGCCTGACCAACATGGTGAAACCCATCTCTACTAAAAATACACAAATTAGCCAGGCGTGGTGGTGGGCGCCTGTAATCCCAGCTACTCGGGAGGCTGAGGCATGAGAATCCCTCGAACCCGGGAGGTGGTTGCAGTGAGCCAAAATCCCGCCACTGCACTCCAGCCTGGGTGACAGAGTAAGACTATCTCAAAAAAAAAAAAAAAAAAAAAATTGCTTTACTTCTCTGAGAAACAACACAATGTCAAGGATCAGTGGGTTAGGAGGACACAAGCAAACAGACTGACTCTGGCAACTGATTTTCTTGAGGCCTTTGCTGCTGAAAGCTAGAGGTCAAGCTCAAGGTACTGAAGGGGCAGGTCAGCAGCACTAACTTCAAAACAAAAAGTACACATGGGGTATGTGATGATACCACTGATTACAGAGAGATGGCAGGAACTCCACATCTTCCTGTAGCGGTTGATGAAAAAACAGAAATAGTAGCTACAAGCAGCAGAAAATGGGTTTCTAGGAGAAGAAATTACGCTATCCAACCCCTGCACTGAGATGCAAAAGACAAAATGATGTTCTTGAGGGAAAATGGGGGGTACAGTTTTCAAATAATAAACTATATATTGGGTAGCATAAGAAATAACTAGTTTAATTTTACATAGTGGAAATTCAATCATATAAAGCCAATGGGAAAGTTTTTATATTACTCAAATTTTATCAAATTTCGTATTATCCAGCTGGTGAAAAGACTTACTTTCAGCCATGTATCTCCATAGAAAAAAAGACAAAGCATGGCTACTTCAAGTAAAATAGCCAGAAAAATAACTGATAACTCTATGAGTAAAGCAACTGCATCTTTTTCAGGAAACAACAGAATAGCGCTTGCAAATTTTATGCCAACTGGATAGGTACCATTTCTAAGAATTTCTGGTCTAAAATAAGTTGTTAGTTGCCTGATACACGAGAAAAACTATTACCACTTCCCATACATGAAAAAAGAGACTGTTGCAGATGCTCAGAGGAAAAAAAGGTCGCCATTAACAGGACAACCATGTATTTAGAAGTGACAATAAAAATTAGGTTAATAAATTATTTTCCCATAAATAACAAAGATTAAAGGCATATCTCTCTTGCTATCTTAGGTAAATAAAATCTTTCTTACTAATCAACTAAGGCTGATCTCATACCTCTAATCAACTAAGGCTGATCTCATACCTCTAATCAACTAAGGCTGATCTCATACCTCTAACACTACTGAAGTTTGACAAAAACAAACATTAATAAATTTAATGCTATATCAATAGAACAGGGGAGAGAAGTCAGTGGTCAATTTTTCGTGCAAAGTAGTTTTATCTGTTTTACGGCTCTTAGAAATTCTAGGATGCCTGAGCCAGTGCAATTAAGTGACACAGGCAGAATTCAAACCCTAGTACATCTGTTTTTAAAGTTCATGCCAGAAAGGATAGCTAACTGCTAAAAGTTACGAAACACGAACTTGATTATGGGCCTCCTGTATCCCTATAAAATGTTCCCTTTGTTAAGGTGACATTCTCATTCTTCACATTTCTGTGCCTGTGTTTCCTGTTTCCCTCCCTTGTGAGTGACATCACTGGCAGATTTTGAAGAAAGCGGTGAACACACTCAGTTCGGCCCCTTCTGCTCTCCTCTCTTCAGACCTGGCCGTCTACACAGGTCCATCCCGTTCTACTCTCTGCCACGCAGTAAGAAGCCGGCAGTTACTCAGCTGTGCTGGTGGGCAGACCTGTCTACTTCAGGAGGGATATACCAGCGAAGATACTTGGGCGCAAATATAAAGTCATGTTTTCTAATCAGCTTTGTCAGTAATAATGATAGTATTTTCATCTCCCTCATTTGGACTCCCCTGTTGACTATTCAACTGGATCCAGATTCAAGAGGATAAATACAGAAAACCTTTGGCAAGGGATCCACAATCTATCTGCCCACGAGTAGAAATTCAGAAAAGTCTTCTGACTGCATGTGGCACCCTTTAAAGCACAGAACTCTTGCATCTCTCTAATTTCCCAAATGTTTTGGCCTCTGATTATTCACTGAGAGTCTAGTGATAAAGCAGTAACTACTGATCAAGAACTGTTTAAATGGCCAGGCGCGGTGTCTCCTGCCTGTAATCTCAGCACTTTGGGAGGCCAAGGCAGGCAGATCACCTGAGGTTAGGAGTTCGAGACTAGCCCGGCCAACATGGTAAAACCCCATCTCTACTAAAAATACAATAAAATTAGCTGGGCCTGGTGGTGCGCACCTGTATTCCCAGCTACTTGGAAGGCTGACGAAGAGGCAGAGGTTGCAGTGAGCCGAGATCGTCCCACTACACTCCAGTCTGGGAGATAAGAGCAAAACTCTTCCTCAAAAAAAAAAAACAAAAAAACCAAAAAAAACTGTTTAAAGTGTTTTGTATGTATTAACTTCCTTAAAATCCCCTCAGCACTAACATGATGAAACCCTGTCTTTAACTAAAAACACAAAAAATTAGCCAGGCATGGGGGCGGACGCCTGTAGTCCCAGCTACTGGGGAGGCTCAGGCAGGAGAATGGCGTGAACCCGGACGTCAGAGCTTGCAGTGAGCTGAGATTGCGCCACTGCACTCCAGCCTGGGTGACAGAGCGAGACTCTGCCTCACAAAAAAAAAAAAAAAAAAAAAAAAATCCCCTCAGCACTAGGTACTATTACAAATTCCCATTCTATAGATGAGGAAACTGAGTGACTGAGAGGTTAAATATCTTGCTTAGAGTCACATAGATAGGAAACGGTGAAGGCCATTTTAAAGTCAAGTCAGGCCCTCGAGTCTGTGACCTTAACTAGTTTTCGTCAGTTCAGTAGGTCTTAAGGGGACATTAAAAAAAAAAAAAAGAAAGAAAGAAAGAAAAAAAAACATCAGAATGCACATAATAAGAATATTGTTTTGTTAAATACTGATTTCATTATGTGTGTGTCTGTTAGAGTGAGAGTGAGAGACAAAAAGGGAGAGAGAAGGGGGAAGGTGCAGAATACTTTTCTTATTGGGGTCAGAGTAAAAAAATAGGCCATTCTCTCTACAGGTGGGTGAAGAAATTCATAATCGTTCTGATAACAACCTAGTATATGATTTACTCACTTCCCCTATAGTGTGACATACGAATAATTATCCCTAAACTAAGATGCCATCAATACCTATTATTAGATAATCTTACTATCTACAATACTACCACAGTTCCCAAACTGTGCACTGCAGCACCTCAGGGAACTCACAGGGGTGCTGCAGAGTCTTTTGAATTTTGAGAAACACAGTGCTGTCAGACAGTGTGCAAATCACTAGCTTGTGGTATTTCACAGTTTAATACGAGATCATGCAAAATTATTGTTCATGATATTCCATCTCTTCGAAATTGAGTTTTGGATGGTTGCTGTGTATCTTAGTCTATTCAAGCTGCTGTAACAAAATATCATAAACGAGGTAGCTTATAAACAACAAAAAATTACTTCTCACAGTTCCAGAGGCTGGAAAGTCTAAAATCAAAGTGCTGTAAGGTTCAGTATCTGGTGACAGTCCACTTTCTGGTTCACAGATGGCATCTGCTCACAGCTTTTCTCACACAGTGGAAGGGGCAAATGAGTTCTCTGGGGTCTGTCTTACAAGGACACTAATCCCATTCATAAGAACTCCGGCTTCAAGACCTAATCACTCCCAAAGGCTCCACATCTCCTCATATCATCACCTTGGGGGTTAGAATTTCCACATACGAATTCTGGGGGGACATAACCATTCAGACCACAGCACTGTGACTAAAAGCACAACACAGTTCTGCACAGAAATTAGTATGGAACAAGAAATGAAGTTGGCAGTGGCCAATCTGATTCCAAGGTTTAAAAAACTGTGCCATGCCCAACAAGTACACATTTGATTAGTAAGTAGTAAGAAATTAAAACATTTTCTTTCAATTTATTATTACTAATATGTCTATTATTTCTTGACATGATTACAAACTGTTGGAACATAACAAACTATTAGGGACTGTTAAGTATTTATTTTGGCCTAAAAGTCACGAAAAATTTAGTGATTGTGCTAGAACCAAGTAATGTTGGGAACCTCTATCCTACTGCAAAGACACTGACTTCCTTTCAGAAAGCTGTAAGATGTCTACCATTCAAGTTTGAAGAATTTTCAAGTATTCTTTCAATTTATGCATGCAGCACAACATAAACTGCTTTAGTTTTTTGACATGTCCTCATTTTAATATAACTGAATAAAAGCATTTTTTATCTTCATCTCAGGTCTTTATTTGCTGCTAATCTGTTGCAATACTCTGGGATTCAAGGGAAATTTGCCTGTGGAGTAATTGCTACCATTCATGCAAATAATAATAATAATAACAATAATAACAGCTGAAGAAGAAACAGAAACTCAACTACAAAACATTGCTATTTGGCAGCTACTGATTCTTATCTTACCTCTATCCCTGTCAGGGGTTAGGACACTGCCCTATCTTAAGAGCAACACTGCTATTTTTAAAACAATAAAGTAATGTCTTATATGCACAATGACCATTCACACAAATGTGACCTTTGAGGTTTATCTCCTGATAGTCTGAACTACGTTGTCAGTATTCAGATGGGATTTACAATGAATCAAAGCTACTACTGTTCACACTACATTACGTCTACAATAGAGTGCAATGAGATACCATAATATTTTCATTTGGTACTTTTTATTAGCCTGCACTTCAGTTCGGTTCACTTCTAGTCAATGAAATACACAGTACTTTTTAGGTTGAAAGCCTCTATTTATAATACTGCTTTAAGAAACTTAGACGGAGGAGGAATACCACAGAGGACATCGATCCTCTGACCTAAAAAGCAAGTTAAAAATGCTCAATTTTAAATAAAAAAATGTTGGGTAGCGTAAAGGAATCATCAACCTACCTAAACAGTGACTGGTGACTAACTAAAGGGGCACTCTGGTATTAGTTTAAAATAAAAACCAAACACAGCTCTGGAACTGTCTCATGCTTTGAGAGTGAAAAGAAGACAATTTTTAGCAGGATGCAGAAAGGAAGCACCCACAGGTGAAAGTAGGAGGCGAGAAGCAGCCGCAACAAAGAAACTCCTTCAAACCAATGACATCCAAGTTAACTGTGCAGAAAAGTCACTTCACTCAAATTCAATGTGCAACTTCTATTTAATCCCAACTACTAATAAACAACGAACACCTCACCTAACATGTTTACGGGGCCTGTGGACTCATCACTCATACAACACCGCAAAGTGGGCGGCAGGGAGTCGAAAGGAAAGAAAATTCAAGCCAGCTCAACCCAGGGTCAAACCGCAAATAACTTATTTTACGCAATATTTACTAAATTCAATTATTCTTTTACTGATTGGTCCACAATTAAATGAGCTGATTAGCTATATTCAGGAAAAAACCAAAGTTGATTTATCTTTCCCTTTAAGACAATCAATCCACAGAAACTGACAGCAGCTGAGTTTTAGTAAAACCGCTATCTTCCTAGTAATCGAAGAGACGAGGCACAAATGAACACTGGTGTGTCATCATCAGTCTCCAGGGCCTCACTTGCCCCGGAGCCCGTCAGCACTTCCCAGAATGCCAGCAGGGAAGAAGAGAGCACGTGCCCACAGTATCTCCATATGAAACCCCCCAACTACAACCATGCCAAAGTTCACCTATTGTTTGCCTGTGATGTAGCCATAAAAGTTTATATACATAAACTTTGCAATTATTTGGGTACTTTCTAACAGATGAAATTACAATAAAATTGAGTAATTAACCCACTGAAATATGTATATGTGTCTGGTCAGAAAACTTTCCGGGCCAGGTGCTGTCTCAAAAAAAAAAAAACCCCACAACTTTCTGATTAGGCCCTCTTCTGCAACTGGAAATTACTGACAGCTTCACACTATATTATTTCATACAATAGGATTTCATCCCTAGCAAGCAGAGCTGCAGCATCTACGTAATAATATAACAATTTCACTCATCTCCTGATATCTTAAATTGAAGCACGGAGGGGTTTAGCTACATGAAGTCTGCCAATAAAATAAAACAACAACAACAACAAAAATTCAGACCTAGAAATAAAAAGAAATGTTTTCCAATACAGTTTTACATGGAGAGATGGAAATACACAAGCACAGTGTGACTGTCTTATCTCCGCAGGAAATTAGCAACTGAAAGAGGTTTATTCCTCCAATTTCTACTTCAATATTAACGGGTTGAGCAATTGCCTCGTGGAACAAGCCCCTTTAATACCACCTGGTCTACTTCCCAGCAGTAAGTTCCACCCCCAAGCCTGTCATGGCTCATTTGAACAGTACAGTATGCTCCCTCTGTAAGTCTGCTCCTAGAGCTTAGAGAATTTAAGATATAATGAGATACGAAGGTGTTTACCATGAGGTAGAATGGAACTCTGAGCCAAAGCAACAGGAGCTGGATGTCATGAGCAGGCTGAGAACAGAAGGTTTTTTTTTTCCTTTAAAGTATACTGGAAAAGTAAACTATTCCAGAAGACGCCATAAAGTTTGGGTAAAGGCAGAAGTTTTAAGCAGAAGTAACTCTTATGGAAACTCAAGAGAACAAAGTAAGATTTCAGAGACAGAAATGAAGAGCAGGAAGTACACCTTTCACCACTGCCTTCTGCTGCCTTTCCACAGAAAACTGTTGTTTCAGAGAGTTGTAATTCATCCCATCTCATAAGCAATGGCAAAAACTTTGCAACAGATACTCTATCTAAAAAGCAACAATCAAATCCATCTGGCGGATTTTGAAGACTTCAGGAAGAAAAGAATGATTATAAAAATAACAGCTGACAAAAATTAGGAGAGAAGGAGAAAAAAAACCAACCTAACAGACTGAAAATAGTTTAAATTAGAACCTATACTTGTCATAAATATTGTGAGGAAACCCAACATGTTCCTCCCCTCTTGCTCCAAACACATAAAAATAGTTCTTAAAAAGAAAGTAATAATTAGGTATTGAGCTTTAGCCAAACCAGGAGAAGTGCTAATAACAAAGAAAGAATTCAGTTATAGCTGACGAGTTTAAGTGGAAATAGCTTATGGGAGTGGGGCGAGGGAGCAGGAGGTAAAAAACTGGGTTCTAAGCCTTAGGGAGGAGATCCCAGGATGGGGGCTCAGGAGGAGCCGGAACTAACCTTTCT